AATCTGTCGAAATCTTTACTTTGGATTTGCACATGGTCATGTTTTTCTCTGACTGTTAATGACGTCTTTACACTAAATCCATTGGATGTTGGATGTTTTTTTATTAGTTGTAATTGGCTTTGTGAACTAGCTGTCAGTAACAGCGAGTACTCTCAGATCTGGGTCAACATTCCTAATGCGCCTCAACTTGAGGAACACAAAAGTTGTGCGTAAACAAAAAATCTCTGTGTAGTGATATAGGACATGTTTCTATTTTTAACAAGTGACTGAACTTAACAATTTGTGTTAATTTGAAAAGTAGAGGACCATAGAATAAATTTGTACGGAGTTATTACATGTATGCTTAGTATTAAATTTTCAAAGAACTTATTGTGTGAAAAAAGGGATTGTTTACCCCCAGGAGCGCATCGCGAAAGAATTTTCGGGGTGTGCTCATCTACTGAAAAATGAATCACACTCTGTACCCCGAAAATTTAACCACATATGTGAAAATGTCTCAGCTTCGAAATGAGCCATCATGCATATCCAAGTTTACGATATGGACTGTGCTACAGAGGAAAACGTTACCATTACCGGCTATTGAAAATCTATTATGCATATTGCCCCATCTGTACTAAGTGTCTTTTTTGTTGTAAGGGATGGTTAAATACCATGTAACGTCCGACCATTGTTTTTGTATGATGTTTTTTCGGTTTTGTATCGATCGGATGAGTTAAGCCTTTTTCAACTTATTTTTATAGTTTGTTCTTATGTTGTACCGTTACACCACTGTCACATGTTAGGGGGAGGACTGAGCAGGTCAAATTTTCCGCCTTTCAATCCGTCGTCCTATTTGTAAAACTCTACTCATTTTAGGAAAAGATATAAGGATAAGCAAGAAAACATCTGCTTACAGAATGAATGGTCTTAATCGAACGTGATCTCCCTTTAGGGATTATTTTTTATCATTTTTTTTTGTAGATATTTTATTAAATAAAGCACATCTGTTATGTCAATAAATATCAACAGGACAAGATTTACAAATAAACGAACATGGACAAAATCGTCAATTGACACTCATAGGAGTTATAGACCTTGAACAACACATTTTAACTATTAAGTGGAAAGTGAAGTTATAGAATATTGTGTTTTTGAAGAAAGAGATTTAACAGAACCTACTTATAACAATATGACATGTACATGTGTAGTAGAAAATCTACTTTCAAGGCAACGCGTCGTCAATTGTCAAGTAACCCCTTTTAAAAATTATCAGAGGCTTTTTAACCATTTTGTGCCTTTTTGCGTAAATTAAAGCAGGGCAGGATCTATAAATCAGTAGTATGTCTGAGATGGTCAGTCATCTCCTGTTTGGTATTATTGCCCTTCAAGGAATATATTACATTTTGGCCGTGTTTGTTGAAAGCTATTCTCATTGAATTGTATCAATTTAATGCAAAATTGACAGGTGAGCGAAAAAGGCTCATTGGAGCCTCTATTTTAATTCCACAAGAATTTTATATTAGTTTTGTAACTTTATTCCGGAAACATTTGTCATGCGCACAAAAATTATGTAAAATGTAATCAACATTTGTTTTACAAATATTTACAAATAATAGACATGTTTCCAAAATTAATATCAAACAAATAGATATTGCAAAATTTCAAGACAAAATTATTATGTTTTTGTTGTATTTAATTATGGAAAATGCATTTATCGATCTTTGAAAACTACATATTCAAATCAGTGATTTTGAAGGAACTAAACATATTCTCTTTCTATAAATATTCCTTCATATGTCATAAAGTTAAATATTGTGAAAGGAAGTACGAACACTTTTTGCGTATTCGTTGTCGTTTTTTTCAAAAATGAAGCAGCTAAAACCATCCGAAATTTTCTATTCATTGGACACTATCTCAAACAGATTTGGTCTACAACCTTCTTGTAGTAAAAACCTGATAGGGAAAACATCAAATGCATTATTATTTAGATCCATTATCAAATCACATATTCCAAATATGACTGTTATAATCAAAAGATGGAAAGTTTTACACAGCCGACAAAAGCCGAAGAAGCTAAATTTGTACATAAAATCTATGTTTATCAAGTAACTAATGTAAAATTCAGAACTAAATCTGGCACCAAATTTACAACGCCTAATGATGGTATTTCAATACGGATTAGAGGGGACCCTGGAGGTGTTATCTGGAGAACATTAACAATGAAACCAAACGTATGTCGGGGAGATAATGAAAACAAATTCCGTAACACTTCATTACGTGTCCAAGAACCTTTTTTAATTAGAATGACGGAGATTATTGGCGATAACAAATCAGCTACTGATGTTCGCAGTCTACGTTTATACAAACCATCATATAGTAATTACTTATATCGTGTGATACTTCCTTTTCGAGGAACATTGAACCGCCAGTATGCGGAAGGGAAATTCAACTTTCAAATATGATTAAAACAAAATCTGTTGAAGAGGCAAAATATGCAGTGAACATTTTGAAGAGGTAAAATATATCACTGATCCACCAGCACTAAATTTTCAAACTGAAACAGATAAACGAGATCATTCAATATAAAAATAAGGAGATGTGGTATGATTTCTCAATGAGACAAAGTTCAAGTGAAGTGGATGTATGCAATCATAGGCAACCGTATAGCCTTCAACAATGAGAAAAACGCATACCATATAGTCGGATATAAAAGGCAACGACATGAAAAATACAAAATATTTCAATTGAGAAAACTAACGGCCTAATTTATAACAAAACAATTAACGAAAACCAAATATGACAGACATGAACCAACGACAATCACTGAAACCACAGGCTCCTGACTCTGGACATGCACATAAAGAATGTGGCGGGGTTAAACATGTTTGTGAGCACTCAACCCTCCCCAATACCCGAAACAGTGGTGTAACAGCACAGCATAAGGAACAAACTATAAAGTTTGTTGTCTACTGCTGAGACGACCTGCTTATATGAACATGTAGAACGAAAATCGCACAAGGAATGTGCAAAGGAACACGAAGAAAATAAAAATGCTCGCGATCGGCCAACGATAGCCCACTGAAAAAGGAATACATTATTGACGGAAGTAAGACAACAGTTCAACTTCCTACTATTGGAATTTCAAGAAAGACTAATGAAGGTAAATCTCGTGAATATCTGGTTAAACCCACGAACATTGCAAGATGAGACTCGGGAACTACTAACTTGTATGGATAAAATTGTTGACTTAACTATTTTTTTTTTATAAAATGTGATTTCATAAAAGCTTATATTACAGCAAAAATAGTCTTATCTGTTGTTTTATTGTTATACGAGTCCGGCCAATAAGGAACCTTCGAAGAAATAAATACTATAGAACATTTATCTTTATTCAAGCAATATGTTACACAAAATATTCGCAAATCAGAAATGGCATTTACATCTAACAGGTATCTTAAGATAGGCAATGCAGTTGGCTAGATGCTGACGAGACACATTGAATATAATAAGAAATAAACACCAAAAAAGAAAAAAAAAAGACTCAACAACTCATTCGATATGAAAATTCTCACATACTGATGTCAAATGATCGTAAATTTTTTCAGTTCTTAAATATATATGCCTGAATATACCAAAAACGTTCCACTGTATTTACAGAAAGAACAATCATATACTTAGATACGCCTCGATGGAATTATAGGCAATAAACGTGGACGATTTAGATAAAATCTGTGCCTTATCTATTTAGGAGTAAAAGGAAAAGGATAAAAGGGAAAATTTCATCAATTAGGTTTAGCAAATTAATTGTTAAAAGTGCCCATTGATCTCAAGATGTCTTTACGTTGTTTGTTTTATTGTTTTAGTGGTTAAAGGGCCGGCTGCTCTAGCTTTTGTCATGCTATAACTAATGATTTTTTCTACGTATGCTTTCAAAAATTTCATATAATGTTACTGATGAAAAAATAGAGGTCAAGTTCGATATTGACAACTTTTACATTTTACGTTTAGCAGCTACGGTCCTTGATAGATGGCACTTCATGTCTTTTCTAAGCAAATATCTTACAGACCGTCAAAGCAATGCTTTTTACATCTCAATATGTTGTTACTGATGACAAAATTGATGTTATGTTGGATATTGATGAGTTTTTCCAACTTACTTATATGTGGGATCCATCTTATTTTGTTATCAAACTTATGTTTTGTTTAATTAAAGAGAGGGAGAACCGAATTGTCTCATATTTAAATGTATCTCATTCCAGAAGTAATGATGATGCAGGGAAGACATATTCAGGATATAATCAATTTCCTGTAATAATTTCTAAGGTATTCTAGCTTTGCCTTGTTATATGGTTATGTCTAAAGCTACTTCCTACTAAACATTAATCTATTTGTTTAAGAAGATAACCAGGTCGTAAATATTTGGTGACGAGTATCAATCTATCATATTGTTCTAAATTATATACCTAAGTTATATATAGATCAATTTTCTGAAAATATTTTAACAATACTTTTATTCAATAAGATATAAATACATTGATTATTGGAAAAAATGGATTATGTTCATAAACAAGTATCACTACAATATGAAATAAAACAAAAATATCTTATGACCCCTTTTTAAAAGATATTATGGATTTTTCTCAAAACATTACTTCGTATAATTAACGTATTTATTATGCATTGAATTCTTACGTTTATTGGGTGTATTTCATAGAAAGAAACATGTCATGCGCAGGGAAATTAGAATCACCACTTCGTTTACGAACAAATTACAAGTACAAGGGAAGCAATTCTTCACATGAATTCGTTTTGAAAGTAGAACTTTGAGGATCTAGTATTAAACCAAAATGTATGACAAGTCTCCAAGATAAAATTGGTATTTTGTATGGGATATTTAATATTTGATTTTCCGAATATTCAAAGCATTGGTTTTTCCGCAACGTTTTGCAATAGCTCAAAATATCCCTTTTCTAAAAATAACGCCATTGCATGTGTAGCTAAAATTAGTTGTGAAAGGAAATAGATAGGGTGTTTTGTGTAGTCAATGTATTGGGATATAATGAAGCTAAGACCATCGGAAATATTCTTTTCACAGGACTCTGTTTCAAACAAATGGGGTGATCAAACACCTAGCAGATTAAAATTTATAGGGGACACGTTAGATGAACTGTTAACTGAATCAATTTCGTTAAAGGACATTCCAACTATTTCCACTGTAATTAAATATGGAAAGCTTTACACAGCTGACAATCGGAGACTGTGGGTATTTCGAAAAGCTGAGGAATTGGGATTTTTATATGAAATCGAAGTTAATCAAGGTACACAGCGTAATTTTAAAGCTAACAAAAAGACGAAATTTACAACGAAGAATGATGGAATTTCGATAAGGATTCGAGGATCTGGAGACCCCGGAGGTAAGACATGGAGAACATGGAAACCAAACACATTTCAGAAAGTAAATGAAAATACAGTAAGCAAATCTGCATCACATGCCAGTGGAATTTATGCTAATGAAAGAAGGACGAATGTTATTCAAGATTCTTTCTTTAACAAAACAATTACCGAGGCTCAACATCCAAGTACATACAAATCATCATATAGTAATTACTATTATTCCAGGCCTAGTTATCGTTGTGATAATGCTCATTCTAGCAACTGTGAATCTCCAGTATCCGATAAAACAATTCAGCTTTCAAATATAATAAGATCAAAAGCTGAAGAAGAGGCAACACGATGTAGCAAATATTCTCTTGAGTCAACCACAGAGAAAACTTCATTACATGTCGACGAATCGCCTGTAAATCAAAGTAGGACGAATGTTAGTCCATGTTCCGTCTTTAACAAAAGAGTATCCGAGGCTCAACATCCAAGTAGACACAAATCATCATACAGAGATAATCCTGATGTTTTGTGTTATAATGAGTTTTCAGGAAATTGTGGCTCTCCAGTATCCGACAAAGAAATTCACTATTCAAGAATAAAGAGACCAACAGCTGAAGAAGAGCTTACACAAGGAAGTAAATCTTCCCTCGAGTCAACATTAAGTAAAACTTCGTTACATGCACAAGGACCTTTAGGTAATCAAAGTAGGACAAATGTTAATAAAGATTCCTTCTGTAACATAACAGTTACAGAAGCTCAACAACCAAGTACATACAAAATATCATACAGTAAATACAACTCTGCCAAGCCTGAGCTTTGGAGTGATAAAGGTTTTGCTAGCAACAGTGAATCTCCTATATCCGACAAAGAAATTCACAGTTCAAATATAAAAAGATCAACATATGAAAAAGAACCAGCACTTAGAAGTAAATCATCTTTGTGGTCAAGCAATAGAAAAACTTCGTTACGTGTCCAAGTAGCTCTGATAAATCAAAGTAGGACGAATGTTAATCAAGATTCCTTCGACAACCAAACAATCACCGAGGCTCAACATCCAAGTACATACAAATCTTCATATAGTGATAATATTACTACAAAGCTTGATGGTCGGTGTTATAATGATTTATTGGGCAACTGTGAATCTCAAGTATCCGACAAAGAAATCCACCGTTCAAGTATGAAAAGATCAACAGCTGAAAAAGAGCTAACACTTAAAAGTAAATCTTCTCTCGAGTCAACATTGAGAAAAACTTCGTTGGATGTCCAAGGACCTCTTGGTTATCCAAGAAGGACGGATGTAAATCAAGATTCCTTCGGAAACAAAACAGTTATCGGAGCTCAAAATGCTAGTACATACAACTCATCATATAGTGATGATATTTCTACAAAGCCTCATGTTCGGTGTTATAATGATTATTTGGGCAACTTTGAATCTCCAGTATCCCCTACAGAAATCCACCGTTTATGTATAAAAAGATCAGCAGCTGAAAAAGAGCCAACACTTACAAGTAAATCTTCTGTCGTGTCAACATTAAGAAAAACTTCGCTGCGTGTCCAAGGACCTCTTGGTTATCGAAGTAGGACGGATATAAATCAAGATTCCATCTGTAACGAACCAGTAACCGAGACTCAAATTCCAATTAAAAACAAATCATCACATAGTGATAATATTTTGACAAAACCTGATATTCAGTGTTATAATGATTTTTTGGGCAACTGTGAATATCAAGTATCCGACAAAGAAATCCACCGTTCAAGTATGAAAAGATCAACAGCTGAAAAAGAGCCAACACTTAAAAGTAAATCTTCTCTCGGGTCAACACTAAGGCAAACTTCGCTGGATGTTCAAGGACCTCAGGGTTATCGAAGTAGGACGGACTTAAATCAAGATTCCATCTGTAACGAACCAGTTGCCGAGACTCAAATTCTAATTAGAAACAAATCATCATATAGTGATAATATTTCTACAAAACCTGATGTTCAGTGTTATAATGATTTTGTGGGCAACTGTGAATCTCAAGTATCCCCAAAAGAAATCCACCGTTCAAGTATGAAAAGATCAACAGCTGAAAAAGATCCAACACTTAAAAGTAAATCTTCACTCGGGTCAACATTAAGAAAAACTTCGCTGGATGTCCAAGGGCCTCTTGGTTATCGAAGTAGGACGGACATAAATCAAGATTCCATCTGTAGCGAACCAGTTGCCGAGACTCAAATTCCAATTAGAAACAAATCATCATATAGTGATAATATTTCTACAAAGCCTCATGTTCAGTGTGATAATGATTATTTAGGTAACTATGAATCTCAAGTATCCCCTAAATAAATCCACCGTTCAAGTATAAAAAGATCAACAGCTGAAAAAGGGCCAACACTTAAAAGTAAATTTTCTCTCGGGTCAACATTAAGAAAAACTTCGTTACGTGTCGACGAATCGCCTGTAAATCAAAGTAGGACGAATGTTAGTCCATCTTCCGTCTTTAACAAAAACGTATCCGAGGCTCAACATCCAAGTAGACACAAATCATCATACAGAGATAATCCTGATGTTTTGTGTTATAATGAGTTTTCAGGAAATTGTGGCTCTCCAGTATCCGACAAAGAAATTCACTATTCAAGTATAAAGAGACCAACAGCTGAAGAAGAGCTTACACAAGGAAGTAAATCTTCCCTCGAGTCAACATTAAGTAAAACCTCGTTACATGCACATGGACCTTTTGGTAATCAAAGTAGGACAAATGTTAATAAAGATTCCTTCTGTAACAAAACAGTAACAGAAGCTCAACAACCAAGTACATACAAAATATCATACAGTAAATACAACTCTGCCAAGCCTGAGCTTTGGAGTGATAAAGGTTTTGCTAGCAACAGTGAATCTCCTATATCCGACAAAGAAATTCACAGTTCAAATATAAAAAGATCAACATATGAAGAAGAACCAGCACTTAGAAGTAAATCATCTTTGTGGTCAAGCAATAGAAAAACTTCGTTACGTGTCCAAGGAGCTCTGATAAATCAAAGTAGGACGAATGTTAATCAAGATTCCTTCGACAACCAAACAATCACCGAGGCTCAACATCCACGTACATACAAATTATCATATAGTGATAATATTACTACAAAGCGTCATGTTTGGTGTGATGATGATGATTGTTTCGGCAACTGTGAATTTACAGTATCCCCTAAAGAAATTCAGCGTTCAAGTATAAAAAGATCAACAGCTGAAAAAGAACCAACATTTAAAAGTAAATCTTCTCTCGAGTCAACATTAAGAACAACTTCGCTGGATGTCCAAGGACCTCTTGGTTATCGAAGTAGGACGAATGTTAATCAAGATTCCTTCGGCATCAAAACAGTTGCCGAGGCTCAAAATACTAGTACATACAAATCATCATATAGTGATAATATTACTACAGAGCCTGATGTTTGGTGTTATAATGATTTTTCGGGCAACTGTGAATCTCAAATATCCGACAAAGAAATCCACCGTTCAAGTATAAAAAGATCAAGAGCTGAAAAAGAGCCAACACTTTAAAGTAAATCTTCTTTCGAGTCAGCCTTTGGCAAAACTTCTTTACGTGTTCCAAGTCCTCTTGTTAATCAAAGTAGTACGTATGTTAATCAGGATTCCTTCTGTAAAGAAACAGTAACCGTGGCGCATCCAAGTATATACAAACTATCATACAGACATTACGATTCTCAAAAGCATGATGTTTGTTGTGATAATGATTTTTCGAGCAACATCAAATCTTCAGTATCCGACAAAGAAATTCACCGTTCAAATTTAAAAACAGCTGAAGAAACTCCAACACTAAGAAGTAAATCTTATTTTGATTCAACCTTACAATAAACGTTGTTACGTGTCAAAAGACCTCTTGTTAATCAAAGTAGGACAAATGTTAATCAAGATTCATTCGACAACAAAACAGTTACCGAGGCTCAACATCCAAGTACATACAAATCAGCATATAGTGATTATATAACTACAAAGCCTCATACTCGATGTAATAATGTTTTTTCTGGCAACTGAGAATTTCCAGTATCCGCCTAAAAAATCCACCGTTCAAGTATAAAAGGATCAACTGCTGAAAAGAGCCAACACTAGGAAGTAAATCTTCTTTCGACTCTCCATTAAGAAGAAACTTCCTTATGTGTTCAAAGACCTCTTGTAAATCAAAGTGCAACAAATGTTAATAAAGATTCCTTTTGTAACAAAACAGGTACCGAGGCTCAACATCCAAGTACATACAAATCATCATGTATTGATTACATTTCTGCAAAACCTGATGTTCAGTGTGAAAATGCTTTTTCGAATACGTGTTTAAAAACCTCCTGAAAATAATAGAAGTATACAGGTTATTAAAGATTCTCTTCATAACAAAATAGCCGGTGTGGCTTACCGTTCAAATGTATAACAATTCGCTAAAGCCAAGTTTTTCGAACAACTCAAAATTCGCAGTAGCCAATAAAGAAATTAGGCTAACAATAGAAAAACAAAGGATATGGGGTATCCATCCATTACATAAAATCAGTACATGTACAGCACATGATTAGATCAAAAATTGAGGAAGAGGCAAACATTGTTAGTAGATATTCACTCGAATAAAATATAAAACTGATCATGCATTACTAGCTATTTCAAGTAAAAATGAAAACTTAAATCATAAAAGTTTATGGTAAACTTCCAAGCCATACTTGTATGAACCAAGCGAACAAAATTCTTACAAAGAATTTGACCAAGTTCAACACAAAAGAAAATAGCAACAGGCGACAGTACTGGTAGGAGAGACAGCAAACATTCGAACGAGATAGTTAGATATTTACTTTTAACAAAGGACGGGATAATACCAAGGGAGCAATAAAACAAACGTTGAAGAAAAAAAAAATGACTAAAAGAACAAGTGTCCACAAAGTACTACATAGAAAACTAAAGATTGAGCAAGACGGGGATTAACTCACCATTTCTAATTTCATCTGTAAGTTATTTGAGAAATCCCAAAATAAAATGAATTTGAGATGGACGACCGTACCTTCATCATGCGTCTGCAAAAATGAAAATGTATATTTTTTAGTGTTTATATGTTTTGGCACCATATTTCTATAGAACTTATAAACACACGAAGAATCAGTGCATTAAATGTATTTCAAGATATCTACAAGTCATCATTAAGCCATAACTATTTTTGAAAGTCCTACTATTTGTGGGTTGATGACTTTTTGAGCAATATGGATTTTCCAGTATGCAAAAAATGAAGATTCATATATGATTAAATCAAAATCTAAAAACGCTGCAAATGTGAAAAGCTGCAAATAGTGCAACAAATCTTCTGTATAGGTGAACACGGACCAATCAAGAATTGATTTACAAAATGAAAACAATAACCAAAACCGTTCAAGTTTTTGTATCGTCTCCTAAGTCTTCCCACTTTTATTCACATAAAAAAACGAAAATCGTACAATGGATGTACCAGGAAACAAGGAGGAATTAGAACTGTTTGACCAACGATAGCCCACTGCACTATGGATACTTTATTGACGGATGTAACAATATAAGGAAGAATGTAACTACTTTTATAAATATTCAGCAGAATTAGAAGAGGAATTGAAACAGTCAGTATTCGAATTTCAACTAGGACTATTGGAATAATTCACCCAGCATGAACTTGAAGATGTGTCTCAGATACTGCAAACTACATTGTACAATGGAACAACTTTATAAACTTAGAATATAGGTGTTTTGTTTAGTTATGGTGTAATTAAGGTAAAACGTATAGAGCAGCAAAAATAACAATTTCGTTATATAATCGTGATTACTATTTGATCATGTGAATATCGTAAGAGTAAATTCTATAGAAAAACAAATATCTTTTGTTTATTCAAGCAACAGGTTGTGCAGCGTATTTGTAAACTCAACAAGGCTACCAGGCTGATAGTATGATAAGCTTTTTTTTTTAATTTTGTAAAAACTGTTTCATTACTCCTAACAAAAAAATTATCATATCTCAATTTACCTGTGTACGTTATTTTATTTAACGCTATTTTGTCCCAGGTTAGAGTTGTCTTTTTGACACTGTTGCTACATCTTTTTTTTTATTAATATTGTATTTATATTGTGTCATAGATCAAACTTATTTGTTCAGTGTATGTTTACTTGTTTTTGTTTATATGTCTTTTTGATCGAGTTAAGCTATTTCAATTGATATTTTATAGTGTGTCTTTTTATGTTGTAATGTTAAACTACTAATCTCAGGTTAGGGTGAAGGTTGGCGCCTGTTATAACGTTTAAACCCGCTGCATATGTATTCACCTGTCCTAAGTCAGGAGTCTGTTGTTCAGTGGTTGTCGTTTGTTGGTGTGGTTCATAAGTGTTTCTCGTTTTTTCTATATATATATTAGACTTTTGGTTTTCCTGATTGAATTGTTTTACACTAGTCATGTTGGGGCCCTTTAAAGCTTGCTGTTCGGTGTGAGCCAAGACTCCCTGTTGAAGGCCTTACTTTGACCTATAATTGTTTACTTTTTATACATTTTTGTAAATATAACGTTTTTTATTATCAAGCTTGAATACGCAGCCTTACACAAATAGTATGATATGTAGAGATTACTTTTGTGTACAAAAGACTTGATGGAAGCTTATTATTGCGTGTGGGTTCGTGATCGTGGGTTAAGATCGATGGCTACAGTGCTGAAGGTCCCGGTTCGATTCTGACTCTGGACGCTTAAAATTTCAGTACATCACAAGGGTGATTTCATCCTCTCACAAACTTCTCTGGTACCCAGACCGGAGTTTAAACTAGAATAGGTACTTTGGGGGCCTCGGTTGGTCAAAGTTGTCCCCTTCTTTGACCTGGAGATGAAGCTTCTGATATCTCTCCGGTTTGTCTGTTTTCGTCGAGTGGCCCGGTGGTTCTCTCCGATTACCTCGGCTTACCCCACCATAATAACAGACTTCCTAGTGTTCTAGCACTCCCTTTGTGTTGGGGTGGGGATTGTCCTTGTAAAAATTGTCGTAAATACGTTAGTGACACATCTCCATTAATCTCGATAGGTAGTGTTCATGGATTCCACTGTACCCTCGCAGATCTCGAGGGGTTCTTCGGATAACGGAAGAATTTACCAATACATACATACATACATCCATTCAACGGTGAAGATTTCGAGCGAAAATTTCAATTTATAATTAAGATAAAATTGCGAATGGAAATGGGGAATGTGTCAAAGAGACAACAATAAAATTGAGAATGGAAATGGGGAATATGCCAAAGAGACAACAACCCGATCAAAGAGCAGACAATAGCCGAAGACCACCAATGGGTCTTCAACGCAGCGAGAATATACCGCACCCGGAGGTGGTCCTTAGCCGGCCCCTAAATAAAATTGTGTACTAGTTCAGTGAAAATGATCGTCACACTAAACTCCAAAACATATAAATGAACTAAAATTAAAAAACATACTAGACTAGCAAAGGCCAGAGACTCCTTACTTGGGACAGGCTTAAACATGTTTTGTGAGATCTCAACCCTCCCCCTATACCTCTAGGCAATGTAGAAAAAACAAGCACACAGCAATACGCACAGTAAAACTCAGTTTAACAGAATTCCGAATCCGATGTCAAAATAGGTAACAGAAGAAACTAATCAAAATGACAATGATACATACATTAACAAAGGACTACTAGCAGTTACAGACATGCCAGCTCCAGACCTCAATTAAATTGATTGAAAGATTATGTCTTCATCATATGAAGGAGTAAACATGTAGGAGAAGGAGATATTTATTTGTGTTTTAGTGTGCCTGTGATTCCCTTAAGGACACCGAGAAAATGATGATGATATTACAAAAGCTGCACAAAGGTAATATATGATTATGATGGTGTGAAAATCTAAATAAAGTAGTAGGACGTTAAGAAAAATTAAGGCTACAAAACTAGTACCCGTCAAATAAAGCACTACAAAGGTCAATGCTTACATAAAGGGAATACCAAATTCGTTATAAAAATATTAGGTGTTTAATAGCTGTATATGTTAAATATTATGACAGAGATTGACTAATCTATGATATGGGTTTAAGAGGTGAAGCGGATTCGAATTTAAACTATAGAAGTTTGATATAATAAGTCCATGTCTATGTCATCCCAAAGTAAACAAAAGTCTATCTGATGATGAAATGGAAAAGAATGTGCAAAAGTACATCAGTAGGGTAATATTCAGTAGAAGTTTTACAAAATTCCGCCAACGGTTCAGTAGCAATTGTAGATACAACAGGGGACAGAAGAACGAACGAAAAAAGAACAGATGGACTGCTCAATCAATTTATACTACCTTCCTTAGGAAGCTGGGAAGGTTCATAAAACATTTATTGGTACATTTACTCTTATTTTACACGTATGCGTCCATGGCCATGTACTTGCAGGTTTGCTCAACCTTTCTAATGTTATAATAACGGATGTCAATTTACAACCAAAGATTATATTATGTTGTTTGAATGCTGTATTGTTCATATAGTTTTAAAACGACAGTGTCTGTTGTTTCAGATAAAGTTAGTATCAAAAATTGTATATGACTTTTCAACCGAAAGAGGGTAAATAAGATTTGTGCACAATCCAGCTTATATCTCCTTTTGAATTACACAGGAATATCATTTTTAAGTCCCACCATTAGCTCGATTGTCTACTACGAAATTCAGGTCAATCAGATATGCAAAGCCAATGTTATCACAATTTGTGATAGACGCATTTCCTGCACTGAACTAATTTTCTCTCTCGGTTACTCTCACATACGACAACAGTTTTATCCTCACGTGTGAACCGCCTAGTCCTTTGTTGTGTAAGTCGTTATAATACTGTAACACGTTATATGGCTACCTACAGATAACAAAAATAAAGTGTTTTAACATTGCAATTTAAATTATTCCAAAAGACAAACGTATACTCAATGTACTTGTATTATGTAAATGCCTTAGTACACATGTATTTTAAAGCAAAAATATGAAATATATTGTTGTATTAGCCATAAACAAATACACCCATTCATCCAAAAGACCAATACTCAAAGTTGTTTACTTCAACAGACATGTAAAATTGGTTTAACTCATTCATGTAAGAACAACAACTACATGCATTAATTTTGCATATTTTAAGCAGATTACGAACATACAAACGAACAAATAATTATGTGTTTTAACAAATGATTAAACATCGTTATTAGTAAAATGCTTCAGTAACAAACCAACAGAGTAAATGTATGCATAACTGTGTATGAAATTCGGAATATCTATGTATTAGAGCTGATAAAAACTGTTTGCTATGTAATGTTTAATGTGCATCTATCTTCGCTCTACATTTTAAAATTGCAAAATAACTTTTGCCATTCTTATTTGTAGCGGCTTTTGTTTAAAAAAGGAGACTCCTTGTCAGTGAAGATGAGGTTTTGTTTCTGGAAAAACAAATTCTGATTAGAAAGAAAAATTATGCTTAAAAAAAAACAACATTTAACTTGTTGCTGAAGCTTTTATCACTCGTTCGAATATTCAGTATAGTTCAATGATCAAATACAAAAAAGACATGCATTTTTAGTTCATAAGAATAAGTGTAACCCTACATTTTACGTGACCCCAGCCAGAACCTCGTCAGGAACTGTCTTAAGTGAAACACGAATGTACAGTTGTCTTCAAAGACATTTTGTATTGATAGCATATTTGTGGAATTTAATTTCAACTTTACTAAACTTAAGAGTATTTGAGCTTCTCATATATAATAGACACTGTGCTAGTTATTGAAATTAAATTAAATTGTTTGATTTGGTAGGCTGATGTTTCATGAATGTATACCCTAAACCTTCTGATTTGTAGAGATACGCACTTGTTTTCCAGAAAGGGTTATAAGACAAAAGGAAAACAATACAACCATAAACCGACGAGAAAAACAGAATAATACCAAATGCAAATGAAATAGTGACCAGTGTACACTTAAATGCTCCAGTGCGTAAACTTTCGCTGATCAACAAGTAGCACCTGCCGTGATAATTATGAGATCAGAAAATATCGTGATAATTCGCATTTGGTAATGTCACAGTTATAGCCAAGAGCACTAGTAAATGCATTTAAGTTTTAAACGGCCATTTTGATCTTAACATCATCTGAAAACTAAGAAGTCATCTTCAGTCAATTTGTCAATTTTTAGACTTATCCATTGCGGTAAAATCAGGTGTGACATATTTATTCCATAACTGAAATCAAATAATGCTGGCGTCTGCAAAGATAGAAGGGTTTTAACTATACAATTTAGAACCAATGGCCCAAAATGAAGAAGAGACAAAGAGGATATTCAAAAATCATTAACCGAGCAGAAGCTGACAAATATAACTGTATATTTGTTACATAAACCGAGTTTTCAACGTTTTTTTAACTGGATCTAGAGATATACATCAAGATAATAAATAGAAACTGAGGGAATCGCGTAATAACCTATAGTAGCCAGACAAGCTTAAGGTTTGTTGAAAGGGTAGCTATCCCTTGTTGCTTTAAACTCTCTGTACTTTGTTTTACAGCAAGCCTCATGAAGTGTATCCCGGAATATCCGTTGGGAATCCGTTTCATATTTTTTTTCCAAACCAGGTGATCGGAACAGTGCTTTGGTACTGTCGTAACTTACTAACATTATGTCTGTGGGCATTGATGTCAAGGGTCTGCCACTAAGAAAAAACCTGCAAGCAAAAGATAAGACGATTTTGTTTACTTTTTATGCATTCTAAACATAAATTGCACGACTTTGCCCTCAGCAGAGCTATAGAAAACAGTACATTAACGGATGTTGCACGGACATTTTGTATGAATAAAGTTCATAGGCACTTTATCGTACACCTTGTGACCTAATTACCTGGTTTTATAAATATAATTATATTTATGAAAAAGCTAACTATGTCCCAAAATGCTGAAATTAAATAAAGTGTCTACGAAGTTACTGACTGCAAGAGTAATGCAACCATAAAATGTTTCCATATAAAACCTTTCATGTGTTTGATTAGCGCTAAAGTTAAGCTGATATATTTCGAATTGTCTTAATCAAACTAGTATACGAAGGATTTCCCCTTTTCTCTTCATGATAGCTATTAAAATTTGAAATTACTACGAAAGAGGACATAA